TGAGAGATACATGAGTCACTGATTCCTGTATAGAGTGCATTACAGTAGTCCAGCCGAATGGTCACAAATGTGTAAACTACTGTTTCAAAATGCCGCTGAGAAAGAATTAGCTTCACTTTAGCCAGCTGCCTCAGATAGAAAAAATTAGATTTAACAACTGCTCAGGTGTGATTTTCTAACTTTAGTCTAGCATTGACTTTGACCCCTAGGTTTGTAATGGCCTGATATACTAGGCCAAGGAACCAACATCTGCAATGGGTGTCTCAGTGGAGCTTCCAAAGGCCATCACCTCAGTATTTTCCTCATTAAACTTTAAGAAGTTCACAGCCATCCAGGCTTTTATGTCGTCCAGACATGAAAACAGAGGGTCCAAGATTTAGTTATTTTTCTTTAGCGGGACATATATCTGTGTATTGTCCGCGTAACAATGAAAGGTGACCCCATATTTTCTAAAAATAGAGCCAAGGGGGAGCAGGTCCAGTGTGAAGAGGAGGTGGCCTAAGACCGAGCCCTGCGGAACCCCACACAAAAGAGGAGCAAAGAAGGACACATGTGTCAGGGGAATTTAGGTAAAGGTTTATGGATGTTTATCAATAACTAGTGTTAAATTAACGTTGAACCATGTATGTGAAGTGTGTGGGGCCAAAGAGTGTTTGTCTGCTGATAGAGGAGCTGATTTGAGCCTGCATATACAGCTGGCAGACTGAAGTCACTAGTCTGATAAGCATTATAGAAATAGCTCCTGCCTCACTGTCCGGTTTCAGATATTCATGTCCGAGAACCAAGCATGTAACTTTGCCTGTTGTGAACTCTGCCCTTGCAAGTAGAAGACCAGTTAAAAATCGTCTTGTGTCCTCAGAGTGGCTTATTTGAGTAAATAGATATCCATCCATTATCTTTACCTGCATCTTCCTTTTTGGGTCACGGGGGTCACTGGTGCCCATGTCCAGCTGTCACTGTGCAAGAGGTGGGGGACACCCTGGACAGGTCACCAGTCCATCACAGGAACACATAGAGAAAAATGAGACAAACAACCATTCACTCGCTCACTCACACCTAGGGACAATTTAGAGTTACCAATCAGCCTAACATGCATGTTTTTGGTCTGTGGGAGAAAACTGGAGTACCCAGAGAAAAACCATGCATGCACGGAGAGAACATGCAAACTCCACCCAGAAAGGCCCCCATACCGGGATTTGAATCAGGGTAACCTGCTCTCTGAGAGGCAACAGCTCTTTAACTGTGCCACTGTGCTGCCAGTAAATAGATAATAATAGAATATTTACTGTATTTATCCAACAACATAGTCACCAGTGCAGACACAGAAAGTACGCTCAGCTAAGTAGGACCTAAACCAGTCCGGTGCTGTATTGCTGACACCCCCACCCCCATTATTTCAAGCAACAAAGTAAAATGCTATGGTCCACTGTGTCAAAAAACAGCTGATAAATCTAAAAGTAAGAGGACAACACAGTCACCAGTCAGTTGCTAAAAATATGTTGTTAAAAACTTTTAAAAAGGCAGATTCTGTACTGTGTAGAGATTTAAAACCTGACTGTAAAACCCCTAGAATGTTCTGTTCTTTCAAATATACCGATAGTCACAACCTTTTCAAGAGTTTTCAAAAGAAATGGCAATTTAGAGATTGGCCTGTAGTTAACAAGAACAGAGGGGTCAAGAGTGGGTTTCTTAATGAGAGGCTGTTTAAAATTTCCAAGGACCACACCAGAGGACAGACTGCTGTTCAAAAGAGCAAGAACTGAAGGTCAGTGAGGAAAACCTCTTTAAATACACAAGGAGGAATAGCATTACTTGGTGAACCCACTGACTTTAGATGACTATCCACCTCCTGCAGAGACGAGAGTCACAGGTTCAAAGCTGTCAAAAACATCAGAGCAGGGCACAGAGACTTAGGGGTCATGAGCAGAAGGTGAGATCTGGGCCCTGGTGGAATTGAGTCAGAGAGAGTCAGAGTTTCTTTATTGTCATTCGCACCTCATGTGGTGGAGCGAAATTATATACACAGGGTCCCAGTTACTTCCAACAATAATATGTAAAAGAAAAACTGTAATAACATCTAACATATGAAATAAGAAAAACATCAACTAAATATACACTAAGCACTCATAAAAATTATGTCGAACATCAGCACAAACATGAACATGAGTTCGTGTGAGCAGATGAGCACGAATGAACACATCAACATTGAAACAGACCAGCAGCAACTTTGAAACAGATCAGCAGCAACATGATGTGATTTTTTTTCACAGTGATTATTCTGGTTAGAGATTCATGAGTCTAACAGCCTCAGGGTCAAAGCTGTTCCTCAGTCTAGTGGTTCTACACTTAATGCTCCTCAACCTCCTTCCTGAGGGGAGTGGGACTAAAAGTGTGTGTGCTGGGTGAGTGGGATCCTTCATGATGCAGGTGGCCCTCTTCCTGCATCTGGAGGTGTAGATGTCTGTGATGGTGGGGAGACTGACTCCGACAGACTTCTGTGCAGCCTTCACCACTCTCTGCAAAGCTTTTCTTTCTGCAGCTGTGCAGCTTCCATGCCACACGTTGATGCTGGCGCACAGGTTGCTCTCCACTGCACACCTGTAGAAGGAGGTGAGGACTGAGCTTCCCAGACCAGCTCGTCTCAGCCGTCTGAGGAAGTCTAGAGTCTCTGATGAGCTTTCTTGATCAGGCTGGTGGTGTTGTTGCTCCAGCTGAGGTTGTCATTCATGTGTACACCCAAGTACTTGTAGCTGGAGACCACTTCCACCACAGATCCTCTTATGTTCAGGGGGGTGTAGGTGTTTTTGTTCCTTCTGAAGTCCACAATCATCTCCTTTGTCTTCTTCACATTGATGTGAAGGTTATTCTCTCTGCACCAGCTCTCCAGGTGTTCCACCTCTTGTCTGTAGCTGGACTCATCATTGTTTGTGATGCATCCCACCACCGCTGTATCATCTGCAAACTTTACAATGTGACAGCCTGGATGGGTAGCTGCACAATCATACATGAGCAGAGTTAACAGGAGGGGGCTCAACACACATCCCTGAGGAGAGCCAGTGCTGAGGGTTATGGTGGAGGAGGAGAAGTTGTGGATCCTCACTAACTGTGGTCTGTTTGTTAAAAAGTCTAGTACCCAGTTGCAAATGGAGGGGTTTAGTCCTAGTGTGAATAGTTTGTCCATCAGGGTTTGGGGAATCATGGTGTTGAAGGCGGATGTGAAGTCCACAAAGAGCATACGGACGTAAGAGTTTTTCTGCTTTTCCTGGTGGTTGAGCGCAGTGTGGACCACAGAGGAGATGGCATCCTCTGTTGATCGGTTCTCACGGTATGCATACTGATGAGGGTCCTCGTTGATGTTGATGGTTGTTTTGATGTGAGTCATGACCAGTTTTTCTAAGCATTTAGCGACTATCGGAGTGAGGGCCACTGGCCGATAATCATTCAGACCAGTCACTGTAGAGCTTTTTGGGACATGGATGATGGTGGCAGTCTTCAGGCAGGTGGGAACTGTCTCCAGGGTAAGTGAGGTGTTAAAGATGTCTGCCAGCATATATATATAAATGCCAGCAGTTATGCTGTCTGCACATAACTGACTAATTGACTTTCTCAACAAAGAAATGCAGAAAGTTTTCACATGCAGCAGGTTAGGATTCAATACAGTCCGTTTGTGGTGCATTAAGAACAGAACAAATTACTTTAAATAATGTCAATGTCATGTGTCAGGTATGATATTTGTTGGTTTATAAATCTCACAGCTACTGAGCTTGTGCTCTGACACCAAAGGTTTAAGCAGAATTTGATGCTTCGGGACATGAATGACAGTTCTGGAACAATACTGTTCAAAACTGTACCCTTCTAAAGGATTGCAAAAACATCATTTCTGTCACAATCATTAGGGATGGTTGTCTGGACATTAATGGAGATGTTAACAGCAACATAACTGCTTAGTTGTTAGCACTGTTGCCTGATAACAAGAAGGTAATGAGTTGGAGAAGCCCAGGCCCAAACCTCAGGTTGGATCTGGTGTCCACTTTCTTTATGGAGTGTGCATGTTCTCCTTGTGTTTGTGTGGATTTTATCCAGGTAACTTGGTTGCCTTTTTTTTGCAAGTATTGCAAGGAACAAATTCTTATATTTGCTAGCTTGTTTCATGTGAATTCCCAGAGATCTAAGTGTCTAATTATTTTGTTTCAAAAGACTTCAACACTTTTACTTAGGTCTATTGTTCCCCCACAGTCTCACAATAGTTCATGCAAACTTTGATTTTGTTCCCTACTTTACTCGTTATTTTTGTTGATTTGGGATATTATTATCTTGGGACGGCTGTGGCTGAGTGTTTAGAGCAGTCGTCCTCCAATGCGAGAGTTGGGGGTTCGAATCCACCAGCAGTCACATGCTGAAGTGTCCCTGGGCAAGACACTGAACCCCTCATAGCCTCTGATATGTGTCCCATGTATGAATGTGATCTAAAAGCACTGATTAGTCTCATTAGAATGATTTGTTCAGTTAACTTTGTAGAGATCTAGTAGAGTGCTGTATGAATGGGTAAATGAGGACACAGATTGTAGTGTAAAGCGCTTTGAGTATCTTGAAATAAGATAGAAAGGCACTAAATAAGTACAGTCCATTTACCATTTGGGGGTCTGATGCTGCTAAAATCCATCTATTTTTTGCAAACTGTTTAGTTCTAAATTGTTGGTTCATAAAGAAGGTTTTCCTATTTCTTCCCTCAATCTATCATAAACATAACATGTTCTCAGGTGTTTCCAAGTGATGCACACTTAAACTGAACCACTCTGGTAGGCCTATATATATCTTGGTTTTAAAACTACAGTTCATTAAGCTACTTTAATGGAAAAAGCTTGAATATGTCCAAGTCTATGAACGTTTTTGTGCCTTTCTGGTGCCCTTACTTTCTGAGTGTTGCTGCTGCTCTCTGGCTCTGCTTGTAGAAACTCTTTAATATTTGTATTGTATTTTTAACTTGCATTCCCCTGGAGGCAGGGCATTGTTAAGTGAGTATAACCTGATGTTTTCTATTTAGATGATTGTCAGACAGTGAAGCTGCAAACATAACCAGCCAACTTAAATTAGATTTGCATCACAAAATATGCACACTCAAGCTGCATTTAAGCTTTAACTTAAAATTTAAATCAATTAAAGTTACAGACCTGAGACTGGAACAATTGTCCAACTTTCAGCCTAGTCGATATGTCTTTAAAATGGGTCTTTTATTTCCTTTTACCAAAATAATAATCATAATAATAGCAATACCGATGATAATAATAACAATAATAATCTGTTAAATATTACATGGGAAACAGGTAAAAAAAAGTGTAGCTTATATTAAAACACCATAAATTTGACATGTTTTTCTTTATTGAACTTTATTTTTTTAAGTTATAAGTGAAAAGATTCATACATTTAATGTTTTTGTGTTCATCAGTATTTTATCTGTATTTTCAGCATGTAGTTTGTGTTGTTTAAAACTCTCTGTGTTTTTCACTTTTCGTTGATTATCGACATCTACAGGTCTGAGCAAATAAAAATATATCAATATCTTATATTTGCAGTAAATGGAAACAGTTTTTCATTTGTTTGTTTTCCTTCTTGGTTATAAATGGAAAAAAAATGCAGCAGGTTTATTAGATTTCAAAAGCTAGAATATAGTTAAAATTAGCATGTTCTGAATCTGTGCATATTAACACAGTTAGCTAAAGCCTGTTAGCCTGATGGTTGAAGTACTCACATGAACAGCATGTTAGCACTTTGTTAGCATGTAGCCACAGCCAGTCACATGGTAGTTTCTCAAAAGCACGTGTTAACTTATATAAAGACATGCATACCTGTATGACTGTGTGTGTGTGTGCATGTGTGAGAAAGAGAGAAAGTGTGCATGTGGGTGTCTTTCCTAAAGTTCTGTACCTCGGTTCTGTCTCTCTGCTGTCCAGGGGATCCAGGTAACACCTGTCTGCCCAACTGTCTGTCCACCTGTCTGTTATTGTTTGGCTCATCATTCTTTTTATGTGTGCGCATGTGTGTAAAACACTCTCTATACAAGCTTTTTTTATTTATTAATCAAAGTCTTTTAATTGATTTTTTTTTTAAACATACAAAAAAAAAAAAAAAAGAACAAAATAATCCTCCCACCCCTCCCATACCGGATCAGTCCCACACACATAAATAAACTAAACAAGCATTGACATGTTTTTATACAACATAAAGGGCTGCTAAGTGTCCCAAAATCTTTAACCGAACCCTTCAGGGTATATCTGATTTTTCTAAATTAATAGGACACATTATCTTATCCATTGAACGTATGGTGGGGTTTGTGGGACCTTCCAACTTCACAAACCAAGTCTTTTGGCCAGAAAAGAGCCAAAAACAATCACATCCTTCTCGTACTTGCTGAAGGATGTATCCACAGGAACTACCCCGAACAGTTAGATGAGTGGTGATGGGTGTACAGTTTTCCCACAAATCCCTGAGAAGGTGTCAAAAATAGCTTACCAAAAAGTCTGCAGTTTAGGACAGATCCAGAATGTTTGCAAGAGTGTAGCTGGAGTTTGTTTACAATGATTACATGCAGGGTCCAGGTCGGCTTTTATCTTGGACAGCTTGTCTTTGGACCAGTGCAGCTGGTTCACCCCCTTGAAGTGAATTACAGCATGTCTCAGACAAACTGAGGATGAGTAAATGTTCTTAATGATTTGCCAGATTGAGCTAGCTTTTAATAATGCAGCCTGGCCACAAAAACTCTTGATTTATCATTGGAGTCTCTCCTACCCAACATCCAGTGTACATGGTTGATCAGCGGCGACTTGTCCAGCTTCAGCACTTCCATTAGGATCTTGGCTATCACTGTAAATGTGCACAAGCCCAGCGATTCAGGAACTCCAATATTTCTAATATTGTGCCTTTTCATATTCCCTTCCACAGATTCAAGTCTTTTTCTCAGCCCATCCACCTCATTTTTTAATTCCACCATGGTCCAACACAGAGCTTCTACCTCATTTGAGCATAAAGACATCCTGCTTTCAGCCTCTGTTACACTTAGCTTGACTTGTTCAAACCCTGCTGTCAGGGCCACGGTGGCATTAGCAAGCTCCGCTCTGACTGACTGCAGCTCGCTATTAATAAAATTAAAATCATCCATCAGAGCTACCTTCATCTCCATCCGAATTATTGCTGTATCTTCAAATTTAATTGAAGCCAGAATGTTTGATTTCAGAGCCGGCTCGACAGTCTCTCCAGAGCCTAGCGAGGGCGGGGCCGACGCACCTGCTGCTCCACCCACTGCTCCGGTGTCACCGCAGTCCAAGGCTGTGTCCACAGGCTGCGTGGGCAAAGACCCCACCATTTGAGATTTTTTATTTGTTTAGAGGCCACATTACATCTCCGTTAAATCAATCCTGCGACAACGCCAATCACAGACTAAGATTTTAATGCGGAGGCAGTCAGAATATATTCATAAAAGGCAGCTTTTAAAGTAGGGCTGACAGGAGCTGGACTTTTTGTTGGCGGTCTTTCATTCACATTTTCAAACCTGTTTCACCAGATGACAACAGAAGCAGGAAACTGTATAAATGAGAGCAGATTTTCAAAGATGTTTGTTAAAAATATTTGTAAAATCAAAGGTGAGGAAACACAAAGAAATGTAAAGGGATAGCATTCTGCAGAATGCAAATGGGATGAACTTGCTAGTTACAACAGATGATGTGATCTAGTGACCCAACAGACATAAGTTTTTTTTTTTTGCCACTGTCAATTAAAAATGGTGAGCTGTGAACATGGACTAGTTCATTTGTATCTGTATCAGTTTATTTTTTAATTTACATTTATATTGTCTCTACCGTTTATTGTCTCACATCTGTTTGAATTATCGTGCGTCTTTCTTTTGTTTTTATTGTTGTACACCTCTATCTGCTGTCCTACATCTGTCTCTGCTGTCTCTACTGTCCTGCGTCCTTCTCTGCAGTCTCATGTTTGTCTGGACTGTTTAATGATGATGCCTTTTGTCCATGTTGTGTATTTGTCACTCACTAAGCTGTCCTCCACCTGTTTGTCTTGGACAGCAGTTCTGAGAACAGATTTCGATGACTGTTTATGTATTTGTGACTCTTTGATTGATTAATTGATCGATTGATTGATGCTTCAGGCCTCCAGTAAGTCGAGCGGTGCCACAGCCTGATAAACTCCAGAAGAACAATGTATCCAAGAAGAAGAGAGTAGTCGAGGTATCTCTTTGTCTCAGAGGCCACATGCCTTCCTCTGACATCTGTCCTCATCTTCTTTCTGTTTCCTCTTTCTCTTTTGCCTGTAGGAGCTAATTCTGGATCACATCTTTGGTTTTCGAGGCTTTGACTGTCGCAACAACCTACACTACCTCAATGATGGCACTGACATTGTTTACCACACTGCTGCCACAGCCATTGTCCACAGTCTCACCAACGGTAACCATGAGAACACACACATTTACAGTATGAAGAATTAGGGTTTTCTAAGGATTGTGAAAGTACTTAATTTTCTTATGTGATACTATTGAGTCAGAAGAAATGCTTTCTGATTGTCTGAATTTTGACGTCAGCATCATGAAATATGACTCTCCACCTTATTTTGCTTTTGCTTTTGGAAACTTTTATTCCTCTTTTTCTGGATGTAAATCACATTTTTTGAGTGATCATTTCCTCTGGTGTCAGAGTTGTGCAGCTGGAAGGATTTTTACTGAAACTTTTTTAGTTTTGGACATTTGTTATGCGTAACCATGGCAACAAGGCAGTTTTCTACAACCAACAGCAGCTGATTAACATTTAAAAAGCTCAAATAATATCTCAACTACAGCCCCAAATCTCTAATGAGTTGAAAAGGATGTTCTGTGGATGCATTCTCATCTACCTGCCAGCTGTGCTCGAGTGCCTGACCACTGAGATCCTGGAACTAGCAGGAATCACGGCTCATGACAGTGGAAGGACAGGATCGTCCCTCGGCACCTACAGTTGGCTGCCCGCAGCGACGAGGAGCTCGGCAGACTGTTGGGAGAAGTGGCCATCGCTCTGGGAGGAGTTCTGCCCGTCATTCTGGCGGTCCTACAATCCAATCAGGAAGTGGGAGAAATAGTTGAGCTTCTCACCTGTATCTTCTGCTCCCTGGGGGGTGGGGGTGGGGGGCAGCTCATCTTCCCCAAAGTGGACAATGAGCAATAAAGTGCCCTCTTTCCCCACAATAAATATAGGCTTTATTCACAATTCTCCTGCCTCTCCACAGGGGTGAGACGAGTTCGTCCGACCGACCAATCTGCATAGGCTAAGGTTCCTGCTGTGGTTATGTTTCTGGTTCTTCAGTCTGGTCGTGGGAAAAGTAAAATGTCAACATATGATGTACCCCAGAAGTGCATGGGAACTGGGAGTTGTAGTTCACCTCTCACTCCCTCTTGTAGAAGCAATTGTATATATGTGCCGCTAGGAGAATTGGTTCGTCTAGACTCTGGGGTTCATCTCTTATGGCTAGCTGGTCCTTTTTCTTTCAGAAAGAGAATGTAAAAAAGTACCTTGGAGGGCTGTTTCATCCCATCTGGTCGAGTTGGCCATGATACTGAACTTAACAGCATGCTTGGAAACTGGGATACTCCCCTATTTGTGATTTAGTAGCCACTTTACTGCCTCCGCCTGTTGGAGAGGGTGGTAAAACACAAGTTGAAATTCTTCAAGGAAGTAGGGGAAAGGCAAAGACTCGAGGGAATGACAGTCCATATAGGAGTGAGCCCAGCGTAAGGCATCCCCTCATAGTTGGCTAATAATGTAGAATATTATAGCTATGTCAGAAAAAAACTAAGTTGGTTCTCTCTTAAATGCCAGTTTACACTGGAGTAAGAATCCACCACATAGATCTGGGTTACCGTCAAACAGTTCAGATGGTTTGAGGTTTTTTTTCCCAGTACAGCCATAGCAGCAGGAGGGGCAATATGGCCTGGGGTGACAATCTCTGTAGAAGGAGCTGGAGCAGGTGGAATTAATGTGACAATTTCTTGTTAGAGAAAAACACCATACCTCCAGGCTCTTGATGATTAGACTGAATAGTGTTCAGCTGCAAAATATCTTTTTCAAGTGTAGCATCAAGTTTGTCTATACGTCTGATTTGTGATACAAACAAGTGTTGTAGTTGCTTATTATTGGTCACAGTCTGGGTTTCATTGGGGCGGTGCATTCTGAGGTTTTGACTAATACCCAGAATAGTTGTGACCATAAGAGCAACTTCAAAACACATAGTAGTTTGAACAGTGTTTATTTATAAATGTGAATAAAGATAAATAGTCAAACTGCAACCTCTGGTGGAAGAGACTGTAACCTTGAAGACAAGGAGGATAGTTAATAGAGGCCAAGTGGGCCTGAAGATTATTCTGAATAATAAACAGACGGCTTACTTTTTGAGAAGATGGTAAACTCCAAGGTATGAGGGTCCAAGGTTTTCAAAGGTAGTCCAGAGAGGTTCCAGAGCACTATTAGAATCAATCAAGTGGGGAAGGCACGGAGCAATGAAGAAGATCAAAAGTGGGAACTCAGAGAATACATGGGGGTCCAGGGCATCAAAGGAGCTCAGGAGATTCTGAAAAGCATAGGAACAAGGAGTTAGTCAAAGGAATAATTTTGAGAATACAACAGAGGGCAGGAACACTCTACCATCAAGCAGACAATGCACCACTGTTGGAATGATGTCATCAACTGCCATTAATACCCTTGCAACTCATCAAGGTTAGGATCTGCAGGTGTGTCTCTGATGGTGTCATCTGGTGGAGGAAAGCTGTAGAAGGAAAACCCTAGAACTTCTACAGTAGCCACAGATTTAGTTTGGTCTGCTTGTTCGTGCAGCCGCGAACAGCACAACAGCAGGGCTTAATTTGTAAAATGATCGATGCCAGAACGCAAATAGCAGGTGGGCCGGTGGGTGGGTGAGGTAGGATCTGGGGTTCCTGCCCCAGAAAACCTTGAATAAAGTAGATGTGATTTCATGCATTTTGGTGTGTTTTAATGGGTCGTTAAACATCCTACGTTTACCTACATTTGTAAACACTCTGCTTCTGTCAAGGAATCATCACATAAGTCGAGCTAGGAACTGAGCCCAACTCTGTCCCTGCTCATTGTTGTTTGACTCCAGATACCTCTAGGCGCCTGCATGCAGCTATGAGCTCCTGCCCACCTACGACTGCCTGGTTAGCTTGGCACTCACCCCTCACCACTCTTTTAGGGGCTGAGATTTTTCAAGGGTAGACACAAAAATGCTACTTGAAGAGGCAGATCATGGCTGTTGTGTTTAAAATTAGTGTTTATGTAATTATTTTCAGTTTACATATCCAATATAAGTTTTATTCATTCAAGGCATTCATGTTTGTTCATAACTTTATTATTAGTAAGCCTGAGAGTTACTGGATCCAAGCCGGATCCGAGCAAACAGTTACCAGAATGCACCCTGTCAAAATAAGAGAGTTTCTGGATTCTGTTCTGGCAGGATCCGGCTCAAATTAAGCACTGCACAACAGGCACCTGAACTCAACAAGGCTATTTTAGTAAACGTTATGGTTGTTAAATAAATGTGAACAAAACAAAAACCGCGTTTTATCTGGTAAACTGAATGCAAAGTTGTAGTTGAAGTTGTACCCATAATCATTTATACAATAGAGCCCCCAGGAATAAGGTGGATAAAACACAATACGTACTTGTGTAAAAGCTGCAAAGGAAAATAAGTAAAGTTTGATAACGGATCTAAAAAAGTTACATCTGGTCCTCTAGACATTTCTTTTTTTTTTTTGAATGTCCAGAGGACCAAATTTAACTTTTTTAAATTGTTCTACCTGGATCATTGAGCATGCATCAGGATATTGTTAACAGGAGGAAATTCTTGCACTTTTAGTGATGTGCTTATGGATCTTTGTGCACTACAGGAACTCAGAGTTTCTACCTGGAACACACAGATGACATCTTGTGTTTAACCGTCAACCAGCATCCAAAATACAAAAATATCATTGCCACTGGACAGATAGGTATGCTGAGCATTTATTTACATATGTGAGATTGTTTTTTTATGCTCTTTGTGCATGGCTGTGTGTTTTTCTACTAACTTCACTTGCTTTTCCCTTTTCTGCTTCCTGTTTAACCCATCTGATTTACTTTGTTTTTACTGACAAAATTAAACCAGCTGAGCTCCCTGACCCACAAGAAACTCGGCAAACAACAAAGGCAGAGCAGTAGTATAGGGTAGTCGCGCATTAGTGCTGAGCATTTTGCAAATTTAAGTTAAACAGGCAAAGACAAAACAGAAAACAAACATATAAAGATTTACATTTAGGATTTTAGCTGAGGACCAGACAACTTTTTTTTAATTTTTCTACCTGGATTTTTGAGCATGCATCAGGAGATTTTAGCTGAAGATTTTATTCAGAGTTACTTACAAATGCAGATCAATTATTAAAGATAGGAATGGTAATGTTCTAACAAGTGAGGAGAGTGTGACAGGAAGATGGAAGTAGTACTTTGAGGAGCTAATGAATGAAGAGAATGAAAGAGAAAGAAGAGTAGAGGTCATAGAAACTGTGGACCAGGAAGTGGGAAAGATTAGTGAGAGTGAAGTCCGGAAAGCTCTGAAAAGAATGAAGAATGGGAAGGCAGTAGGACCTGATGACATACCAGTGGAGGTTTGGAAATGTCTTGGAGAGATGGCAGTGAGGTTTTTGACTCATATACAGTATTCAATGGCATATTTGAGGGTGAGAAAATGCCTCAGGAATGGAGAAGAAGTGTGCTGGTGCCCATTTTTAAGAACAAGGGTGATGTACAGAGTTATAGCAACTACAGGGGAATTAAGTTGATGAGCCACACGATGAAGATCTGGGAGAGAGTTGTGGAAGCAAGACATAGACGAGAGGTGACTATCTGTGAGCAGCAGTATGGTTTCATGCCAAGAAAGAGCACCACAGATGCCATCTTTGCTTTGAGGATGCTGATGGAGAAGTACAGAGAGGGTCAGAAAGAACTCCATTGTGTCTTTGTGGATTTAGAAAAGGCATATGACAGAGTGCCGAGGGTGGAGGTGTGGTATTGCATGAGGAAATCTGGAGTGGCAGAAAAGTATGTTAGACTGGTACAGAACATGTATAAGGACAGCAGGACAGTGGTGAGATGTGCTGTAGGAGTGACAGATAGTTTCAAGGTGGAACAGTGAGGCTACAAGGAGCAGAGGTCACAAAGGTGCCGGACTTCAAGTACTTGGGGTCCACTGTCCAGGGAAATGGGGAATGTGGTAAATAAGTGAAAAAGAGAGTCCAGGCAGGATGGAGTGGATGGAGAAAAAATTCAGGAGTGATTTGTGACCAAAGGGTGTCAGCAAATGTCAAAGGAAAAGTTTACAAGACAGTGGTGAGACCAGCTATATTGCATGGTCTGGAGACAGTGGCATTGACAAAAAGACAGGAGAAAGAACTGGAAGTGGCAGAAATGAAGATGCTAAGGTTCTCCTTAGGAGTGACAAGGCTGGATAAGATTAGGAATAAGATAATCAGAGGTACAGCACAGGTTGAACAACTGGGAGATAAAGTTAGGGAGGCCAGACTGAGATGGTTTGGACATGTCAAGAGGAGGGACCATGGGTATATTGGTCAAAGGATGTTAGAAATGCAGCTGCCAGGAAAAAGACAAAGAGGAAGGCCAAAGAGGAGATATATGGATGCAGTTAGAGAGGACATGGAGGTAGTTGGAGTGAGGACAGAGGACAGAGTGAGGTGGAGGAAGATGACTCGCTGTGGAGACCCCTGAAGAGGGAAAAGCCAAAAGAAGAAAAAGAAGAAGAAGACTTACAAGTGCAGATCAATGATGTAGCTTCAGTATAGTAAATAACTCTGGTGTAAATTTAGGATCAGGTCCAGAAGTGCAAAAATTAAGAAATAATATTTTTTGTGACATGTTTCTGCCTTCAAGACATTGGCCTCTTTGAAAAAGTCATTGTAAGTTTTCATTTGTGTTTGTTTTGTTTTATGTTTTGCCTGGCCTCATTTGCCTCCATCGCTCCCACAACAAATCAGGTGACATCAGTGACTTCCCAGGTAAAATAAAAACCCACACCACTGCCTCTCCCATCACAACAAGCACCCTGAAAACCAAAAACAATAAATTATTTATGATAATCACAACCAAGTTGTGTCAATATTAGTAAAAGTAAAATGCAACACTGTGTTACTTGGAAGTTGAATTTAGTTTAATGACACCTAATCTCAGGGTGTTTGTCAGCTGCCCTTGTCCTGTAACTCCTCCATTTGCTGTTTTGTTTTTTGTTTCTGTGACTCACATTGATGTTGTTAAAAACTGATGGTTCACCATCTGTTGCAATCACTTCCCCGCAGGAACAACACCCTCAATCCACGTGTGGGATGCCATGAGTAAACAGACTCTGTCTATCCTGCGCTGCCCACACAGCAAAGGTGTTGGCTACCTGAACTTCAGCGCCACAGGGAAGTTGCTGCTATCTATCGGAGTGGAATCTGAGCACATCATCACTGTTTGGCGCTGGCAGGAAGGTCAGACACAAGTCCAGTCAATTAATCAATCAGTAACTAAATCAAAACCACTGATACAAACAAGAATTCTGGAGTAAAAGGTTGTAAAACTGTAGTTTGTTTTGTTTATTCATTTGTTTGTAAAATAATAAGAAAATCCATCCATCCATTATCTTCTGCTTGTTCTGAAGTTGGGTCACGGGGGCAGCAGCTTGAGCAAGGAGGCCCAGACAGCTCTCCCCACCACCTCTTCCAGCTCTTCTGGGAGGATTCCAAGTCGTTCCCAGGCCAACTAGGAGACATAGCCTCTCTAGCATGTCCTAGGTCTTCCCCAGGGTCTCCTCACAGTCAGACATACCCAAAGCACCTCCCTAGGGAGGCACCCAGGGAGCATCCTTACCAGATGTCACCACCTCAACTGGCTCCTCTTGATGTGGAGGAGTAGCGGCTCTACTCCGAATCTGTCCCGAATAACTGAACTTCACATCCCATCTCTAAGGGAGAGTCCAGCTACCCTGTGGAGGAAAATTTTTTCAACTGCCTGTATTCGCAGTCTTGTTCTTAAGGTCACTACACAGAGGTTGTGGCCATAGGAGGGTATGAATGTATACTGACAGGTAAACAGAGAACTTAGCCTTACAGACAGAGAACTTCGCCTTACAGCTCAGCTCCCTTGTCACCACAACAGACTGGCACAGCGTCCGCAATACAGCAGACGCTGCACCAATCCATCTGTCAATCTCACGCTCCATTTTTCCCTCACTCGTGAACAAAACCCTGAGATACTTGAACTCCTCCACTTGACTTCACATTCGATTCATAGCGAGCAATCCACCCTTTTCTGACTGAGGACCATGGCCTAAGATTTGAAGTTGTTGATTCTCATTAGGACCAAGTAGGTATCTCTGCAGCCAAATTCGGAAGGCGTATCTGGGCGGTCATATCTGATTGGACTATAGGAAAATGGGCGTATCTGGGTGATCATATCTGATTGGACTATATGAAAATAGGCGTGTCTGGCCGGCCGCATCTGATTGGACGATAGAAAAATGGGCGTGTCTGGCCGGCCATATTTGATTGGACGATAGAAAAATGGGCGTGTCTGGCCGGCCACATCTGATTGGACGATAGAAAAAAAGGCTGAACGATAAAATGCCGTAACCACAGACACATTATGTCTAAAAACAAGGCGTTATTGGCAGATTGTGTTAACCACAGGCATATTATGTCTATGGTGTTAACCGGTTCGACATTAGCGGCGTCTCAGGTTCAACACTGGCGGCGTCTCGGTTCGACATTGCTCCAGTATACTGCCGCGGCGTCTCCATAACTTCTTTTTTCGACTCTCTTAACACAGAACTTCCGGTTACATTTCAAAATAAGAGCAACATAACTGGGTAGTGGGGAGAGCTAAATGTTAGGTTTTTTTTTAATACCTAGCCATAACATTAAAAAACAAATTCCATTTTGGTTGTTGAAAAATGTGAACAAAGTTACAATCGATTCATAAAGAAAGAAAAATATTAATGATACTTAAACTGGCCTTGGGACAAAGGATGTTTCCTTTAACTTCACATTGTCTTGTTCAACCTGCAGTCACTACAGATGAGTGATTTGTCAGTTTCTGTAAGATTTCTGCAACTGGAGCAGGTATTTCTGTTTACTGGTTAACTTCCTCAGCTGTCTCACATTTTAAAGGTCAACCCTACTCCATGTTTCAGTAGAAAACAAGCACATTTAGGAGTCAGTACATACCCAGACTTTTGGCCCTCACACCTATACCCAGTTGCTTATGCTGCATGATGAGATCATATTTATCCATATTTTAGAAATTACATTTAGCTTAGTTGACAAAACAATACAAATGAAGACTGTCTGTCTTAAAAAAACTCTTGGTTTTGCAGTAAGCAGCCTGATTTCAAACTGACATCTTGGCCAAAGGTAAAATAAAAATCTTTGTGTTCTCAGAAAAGTTGTTTCAGGACCTCCAATAAACTTATGTACACATCAAAGCACACAAGACAGATTCAGGAATTCTCTTTGTTTTCCAGATTTCACATTTGTTATTACCTTAAAACATACTCAGACAACATTCGATGCATCATTGAATTTTTTTATTGTGTTTATTGGGACATCCATTTTTAGAAGTCATCGTTGCATCTGTTGGAAACACAGAACATAGTACAGTTAGGGTGTTGCTAGTTGTTACTTAATCCTGGATTGGATTTTAAAGTTAATTTTGATATTTTTTTCACAAGGAAAAAAAAGTTGATTTCCTAAAGTTTAACTATAAATGAAGGAATTTGTGCATTCAGGTAATTGAAAATTAAGTAATTTCTCTAACATCCAACCCATTTTAGCCACTGAGCCATACCAAACACCCATAATCTATTCTTGAATGAATTATTGACTATTATTGACAAATTACAGACTTTTTATTGAATAAGTTATTACTCATTATTGAATCATTGACAATTTACACTCATGTTTGTGTTAACTCATGTTGCAACAAGATCAGCAACTTTTGACTATTACTATGAACTATGTTAAACTTTGGAGGTGATTTATTTTGAAAGTCAACATCAGATGTTGGTCAACATTGTTGAGCAACATCTTGGGGTCTTCTAGAGTCAGTCTGAAGTGAGAGTGGTTCCTGACATGGCAGAAAGACATAGATATAATTAACAGCTTTTATTTATTTATTTTTCAGCTAATAACTTTTATTTATTTGTTTTTCATATTTTTCAGTTATACTCAGCTTTTAAATATTTATTTTTCAAGTATTAAGAACTTTTATTTTCAGCTTTTATTTTGAAAAGCAACACCCAGTTGTTGTAAACGTGCACAGTGAGAGCTGCTGTGGAGGCTCACTTTACCTCAGTGCGTTACGACAACAACGAGAGAACGGTCGAAACTATCGTGACCTACAATAAACGTACTTCAATAAAATGCATAAGTGAAAACATAACATACTTTATAAGTACAATAAATCATATTTATTTGTCAAACATCGCAAAGAAACGTTACCTCGTCAAAAATCCTAGTGACTTTGAGGGTTACCCACAGCCAATCAGTGTTCGCCGCCGACAAACGCCTATTAAATACTGTTAGCCAATCAGTGTTCGCCGCCCGTAAACGCCTATTCGCCAGAAACGCCCACTTTTGGTCTGCAGAGAACCCCTTCTCATTAGGACAGTACTGGTGCAGCATTATTCCTCTTGGATCTGAGGTTCGATCAATGATCTGATGCTTTTCCAATACCCCTAAATAGACCTTACTAGCACAAGATCGTGTAGAGGTAGGAAAGCCGACATAGAAACAGAAAGTTGTAGGGTCAACTCCCCGCCATGCTCACATGTCGTGGTGTCCTTGAGCAAGACAGTTAATCCCTAATTGCTCCCTGAGCTGTTGCATAGCTGCTCACTGCTCCACCTGGGAGTATCTCACATGGGATGGGTTAAATGCAGATAACTAATTTCATCATTGTATGGGAACATAAAATGGCGACAAGACATAGCACTTTACTTTATTAGGGAGGCTAAGGAAAGTGATGCCTCTATAATTAGAACACACCCTACAGTTCCCCTTTCTGAAGAGGGTAACCACCACCCCAGTCTGCCAATCCAGTGGAACTGCCCCCGATGTCCATGTGAAATTGCAAAGGCGTGTCAGCCAAGACATCCCCACAACATCTGGAGCCTTAAGGAAATCAGGGTGGAGCTCATCTACATCTGGAGCCCTGTCGCCACAGAGCTTTTTAACTATCTTGGCGACCTCAGCCATGGTTATGGACAGACCAACCCCACGTCCTTCGACTCAGCTTCCTCCATGGAAGACATGTCGTTGAGATTGAGAAAATCTGAGAAGTATCCCTTCCACATCCCGACAACATCATGGGTTGTGGTCAACAGCACCCTACCTTCACTGAACACAGTGTTAGAAAAGTGCTGCTTTCCACTCCTCAGATGTCTGATGGTTTGCCACAATCTCCTTGGAGCTGACTGAGAGTCTCTAACCAAGGCCTCACCAAACTCCTCCCACATTCAAACTTTTGCCTTAGCAATAGCCAAGGCTGTGGACTGCTTGGCCCTCCCATACTCTCCAGCTGCCACTAGAGTCCCACCAGCCAACAAGGTCTGATAGGACCCCTTCTTCAGCTTGACCGCCTCCCTAACCTGGGATGTCCACTACCAAGTTTGAGGATGTCCACCACAAGAAGCATGGGCAACCTTTGAGTCACAGCTCACAGCAGCCACCTAATCAACTGAGCATGGAACATGGCCCACTCTGATTAGGTGTCTTGCTCAAGAACACCACGACATGTGGGCATGGCGGGACGATGTCTCCCGCCTCAGTTGGGATGGGGTTAAAGCTCACCCAGAGGTGAGTGTTGCAGGCTTTTTGATGGGTTCTTCTTCCAGACATTCCCAGCAAACCCTCACTACACATATGGGTCTACCAGGTCTTTCTGCCATCTTCCCCCACCATCGGATCCAACTCACTACCAGGTGGTGATCAGTTGACAGCTCAGCTTCTCTCTTCACCCAAGTGTTCAAAACAAACAGCCGCAAATCAGATGACATGATTACAAAGTTAATCATCGATCTACGACCTAGGGCATCCTGGTATCAAATGCACTTATGGACACCATTATGTTCAAACATGCTGTTTGTGATGGACAAACCACGACTTTCACAGAATTCCAACAACAGAACAATACTCAGGTTCAGATCAGAGAGGCCATTCCTCCCAATCACACCCCTCCAGGTCACACTGCCTTTACCCACGTGGACATTGAAGTCTCCCAGCAGAATGAAGGAGTGCCCAGCTGGCGCACCTTCCAGCACCCCTGCTAAGGACTCCAAGAAAGCTGAATACTCTGAACTGCTGTTTGGCGCATAGGCACAAACAACTGTCAAAGCCTGTCCACTAACCCAAAGTTGCAGGGAAGTTACCCTCTCATCTATCGGGGAAAACTCCAACATACAGGCACCAAGTTGGGGTGCGATCAGTAGACACACACCAGCTTGGTGCCTCACACCATGGGCAACTCTAGACTGGAATATGGTCCAGCCCCTCTTAAGAAAATTGGTTCTGGAGCCCATGCTGTGTGTTGAGGTGAGCCCAACTGTATCTAGTTAATACCTCTCAACCTCGTGCACAAGTTCAGGCCCCTTCCCTGCCTGAGAGGTTACATTCCATGCCCCAAGAGCCAGCTTTAGTAAGCCAGGGTCAGAGTGCCAAGGCCCCTGCCTTCGGTTACTGCCCATGGAGTTATGCACCTGACTCATATGGCCCTTCCTACAGGTGTTGGGCCCACAGGAAAGCAAACTCATGTTGCTCATTCAGGCTGAGCCTGACTGGGCCCCATGGATAGAGACCCGGGAACTAGGTGCTTGTCGACAAGCCCCTCACCCAGGCCTGGCTCCAGGGTGTGGCCCCGGTAACCCACATCTGGTCAAGGGACACTGAGCTCCTTGCTTTTTCCTATCCATATGAGATTTTTGGCATCGCTTTTTGTCTGGCCTCTCACCTAGAACTAATATGCCTTGGGAGACCCTACCATAGAATAAAAAAAATAAAACCAGGAAATGTACACAAAAATAAATAAAATAAGGGTTGAAATACAAACAAAATGATTTTAAAAAGAATTGTGTACATAACAAAATAAAAGACAGAAAAATAAATATCAAATTATTTTTATTTTATAGTTTTTATTTTATTTTATTGTTTTTTTATTATTATGTATTTATGTATATATTTTGTTTAATTGGTTTTATAGTGTTATATGTTTATCTTATTATTACTTTTTTTTTAAAAATACACATGTTTTTTTTTTTAGGTGTGATTTTTCTTCTGTTTTTTCTCTTAATCAATCACATTTATGGCTTGTTTTCCTTTTTTCTCTAATACGATCCTAAAATGCAACTCCAATAAGAAAAAAAACTAAGTTTTAAGAAATCCTTTTCTTAACTCTGCTTACTTTGAATATTTGTTTCTAAAACTGCTGTTTGTGTCAATGAAACAAGATTTTAGAGTTGGTGCAGGAAATCTTCCCTTATCATGTCAGAAGAGAAGAAGAGTAACAGTGATGCCTATTTTAGGATCCAGAGTGTGCAGCAGAGCCGGACACCCAGACCGTATCTTTGTGGTGGAGTTTCGGCCAGACTCAGACACTCAGTTTGTGTCGGTGGGAATTAAACACGTGAAGTTCTGGATTCTGGCCGGTGGTGCGTTGATGTACAAAAAGGGGGTAGTTGGAACGTTGGAGGATGGCAGGATGCAGACGATGCTGTCTGTCGCCTTCGGTGCTGTGAGTACACTACTGTTTGTTTATTTAATGTAAAGTAGGCCCTATCAGGTTATAGGTGCATTCTGACCACCATAGCCAATAGAACAAATTCATCCTATTATTTGAAGCAGCAGTTTAGTTAGGCCCAGTCATTTGTCTTTTTCAGAACAACCTGACATTTACGGGCGCCATCAATGGAGATGTGTTTGTGTGGCGAGATCACTACCTGCTGAGAGTGGTGGCAAAGGCCCACACAGGGCCAGTCTTCACCATGTACACCACACTGAGAGATGGACTTATCGTCACCGGTGGCAAAGAGCGACCGTGAGTGGAGCAACAAAAAACATCTGTTTTATTCTGATGAATTTCTGCTTTTCAACATATTTATTTAAAGCTTAAACAGTGTGACATGAGCTGTTGAGGTTTTAAATGAGGTTTTATCACTCATCTGTTAGTTTAATTAAATTCAACTTAGTTTAATCATATCAGCACCAAGTCACAACAGAAGTCATCTCAGGGTACTGACAAAAGCAATAACATACATTAAATAAGCCAATTAATAAAGTTATCTGAAGAAGTCAGCAGATTGCATTGAACTTTGTCCCAGTCTCCCATCCTGAGCAAGCACAAAGGCAACAGTGATTTTCCAGATTAGGAAGGATTTTCTCTCTAATTGCAATAATTTAATTATAAAGAATCTCATGAAGTCATCACTACACATAGCTATAGGGATACATGGATAGGACTTTTCATTAGTCTAGCTATATTACTGAACAGAAACCTGAGGTTATTTTTACCCATGCCTGTTAAAGATGAATAATATACAGTTCTAGCTTTATGGAGAGTGTTTTATGTGTTAGCAGGCTATCTCTCAAAGTTAAATAAAATTATTCCACTTTAGTGGAGCGCCATTTTCTTTCCAGCTTTCTAGATGTCTTTTAAAGTAAGGGCAGCACGATGGCGCAACTGGTAGAGCTGCTGCTTCTTAGCAAACAGGTCCCTGGTTCAAATCCCTGTCCGGGGGCCTTTCTGGTTGGAGTTTGCATGTTCTCTCTGTGCATGCATGGGTTTTCTCCAGGTACTCTGGTTTCCTCCCACAGAACAAAATCATGCATGTTAGGCTGATTGGTAACTCTAAATTGTCCCTAGGTGTGAGTGAGAGTGAATGGTTGTTTGTGTCGTTTGTCTCTATGTATCCCTGTGATGGACTTGCGACCAGTCCAGGGTGTACCCCGCCCCTGGCACAGTGATTGATGGACATGGGCAACGGCGACCCCTGTGACCCAAAATGGAAGAAGCGGGTAAAAGATAATGGATGGATGGATGGATGTTGTATGTTACTCAAAATTAAACAAAGGAGCCAGCTTCCTCTGATTGTTCACTTTGTTTTTCAGTGGAGCAATTTTACCAATTGAAGTTTGCATTGAAGTTGTAAAATTATGAAATAGTCCAAGTCCAAGTAAAGTTCATTGTCATTCATATCACATGTGGTACATGAGTGAAATGAAATTATGTACTCAGGGTCACTGTTTCACCCAAAAATAGCAAAAATATAAAGTGTGAAAAGAAACAGTATACAAGGATTTAAGATATACACTACATGAATGCTCAACGGTAAGCTAAAGGATCTAAGATATACACTAAACACTAATGATGTAAGGCAATCAGCATATCAACAGCACCCAGAACATGAGTCTGTGGTGAGCAGATGGGTATGAATGAATACAGCAGCATGAGATCAGCAGCATAAGATTAGCATCATGGATAATCAGTAGCACATATAAGTCACATATCACCAATTAAAGTGGCATTACAGTGATTTTTTCCCCTTACAGTGATTATCCTGGTTTAGGGATTTATGAGTCTTAATAGCTTCAGGGTATAAGCTGTTCCTCAGTCTAGTGGGTCTACACTTAATGCTCCGTAATCTTCTGCCTGAGGGGAGCGGGGCAAAAAGTGTGTGCTGGATGAGTGGGGTCCTTCATGATGCAGATTGCCCTCTTCTTGCATCTAGAGGTGCAGATGTCTATGATGGTGGGGAGGCTGACTCCAACAGTCTTCTGTGCAGCCTTCACCACTCTCTGCAAAGCTTTTCTTTCTGCAGCTGTGCAGCCTCCATGCAACACGTTGATGCTGGGGCACAGGATGCTTTCTACTGCACACCTGTAGAAGGAGGTGAGGACTGAGCTTCCCAGACCAGTTCTCCTCAGCTCATCTTCTGTTGATCGATTCTTGCAGTTTACATACTGGTGTGGGTCCTTGCTAAAAAGATCTTCTAAGTCAAGTCTTTTCTCTGAAAAGCATTAAAATGACATGAAATGGACAGATAGGTTTTAACTGGTTTTAGTGGCTTATTTTTTTTTCTCACCAGGACTAAAGAGGGTGGAGCTGTGAAACTCTGGGACCAGGAAATGAAACGCTGTCGAGCTTTCCAGCTGGAGACGGGTCAGCAGGTGGAGTGTGTGCGCTCTGTCTGCAGAGGAAAGGTGAGAGCTTTTGTTTTTGTGTTTTTTTTTTTTTTTTTTATCATTACCCTCCTTCTTGCTTTTCCTCATTATATCAGTCTCTGTTCGTCATCTCCAGGGAAAGATCCTAGTGGGCACAAAGGATGGGGAGATAATAGAGGTTGGGGAGAAAAATGCAGCATCCAACCTGCTGCTGGACAGCCATGCTCGGGGAGGGATCTGGGGTCTGGCTGCTCATCCGGTCAAAGATCTCTGCATCACCGCCAGCGACGATGCCACCATCAGGCTGTGGGATCTTAGTGACAAGGTGTCAAAGCACAAACAGAATTTGAGAAAAGATTACAGCAGCAGTAAGTGATCTGTAGTGTCATCAGATATTTGACGATTTGCTTTCCATCTGTTTGCTCAGAAACTGCTGAACAAAGTGTGTGTTGGCCACGCAGCTCGCTGCGTGAGCTACAGCGCAGATGGAGAGATGCTGGCAGTCGGGATGAAGAATGGAGAGTTCCTCCTCCTCCTCTCTAACACGTTGAAGATGTGGGCAAAGAAACGAGACCGCAGCTCTAGCCTTCAGGACATCCGGTAAACTCAGCCGTACATTAAACAAAGACAAATTTATTTGGTTTAATAAAAACTAGAGTACCATGTGTAAGTGACTTAGGGCTAGGGGTTATTAACAAAAATAATACAATGACATAAAATACATAGTAATAATGAAGCTTCATTACATTTGCAATGTATTTCTCAGTTTTAAATCCTCTTCTATTAGTGTTTAAATAAACACTATAACCTGGTGCAGTAGTGGATTGTGAGTCATAGACATTGATCCTTTGAGCCTCGTTCCTTCATTGGGATAAAAACATTTACCGTAAGTCTGCAGCTTTTATCTCACAACAGCTGGAGAGCTTTTTAATCAGTCCAACCCCAGGACAAAAACAGCAGGACAGGACAAATTGACCAGTCATTTCATTACACTCATCTACTATTTGATGAGAATGAAACAGAGAGAAAAAAATATTCACAATCAAACACACAAAACCAGCTAAAGTTATCATACACACTTGATATCATACACATACATACACACATACACACTATCATACACATACATGTGCATGTACATGTACATGCACATGTAAGTTTATCACCTAACACATCAAAATCGTGCTGAATGACCAAATTTAGACAATCACCTAATGTCACATATTGAGCACAGTCATTATTTATTACTTAGGTTGTAAATAAATACAGCACATTCTCAAGAGGAGCTTAATAAAATAATACTAAAGCATTTTTACCAATTCAGTTCAGTTTGTTTATATAATGCCAATTCACAACAGAAGTAATCTCAGGGCACTGAACAAAAACATTCACATACACAAAAGAGGTAGTTAGTAAAAGTTCTCTACCAAAGGAAGCCAGCAGATTGTGTTGTATTCACTTTGTTGCAGTCTTCCATTTTGAGCAAGCACATTGGCAACAGTAGAAAGGAAAAACTCCATTTTAACAGGAAGAAACCTCCAGCAGAACCAGGCTCGGGATGAGCGACCATCTGCTTTGACCGGCTGGGTTTGAGAGGACAGGAAGGAGAAACAAACGAACACAGAATGGCAGGTCCAGATGTACTTTCTATAGGAGGAAAGACTAAAAATACATGTTAAGATAAAAATAATTACAAACACAAACAGGAAGAGTAGAGCAAGTAAATACAGCAGCAGAGTGAGGAAATGTGGTCAATTTGTCCTCGAGCAGTCTAAGCCTAAGCAGCATAACTAAGGGAAAGCTTAGGAAACCCAATCCAACCCTAACTATATGATTTATCAAAAGGAAAATCTTAAGCCTAATCTTAAAAGTACAATGTGTCAGCCTCACAGACAGAAACTGGAATTTGTTTCCACAAGAGAGGAGCCTGATAACTGAAAGCTCTGCCTCCCATTCTGCTTTTGGAAACTCTAGGAACCACAAGTAAACCTGAAGTCTGAGAGCAAAACCACTTCTCTGGACATACTTCAACAGGCTATGATACTGCAGCACAGTAACTCAAAGAAAGCTGTTAGCATGGTGAATCTTGCCTTTTAAAGATAGCTTTAGTTAACATTTAGCCCATTCTCCAACGCAGAACAAAAAACTCTATCTTCTGATGAACAAGTCCATCCTCAAACCCCTTTGTCCAAAACTTTCTTCTAAGTGTCATATCTGACAGTTGTTTTTAGTTAGCATGTAGCAAGTCTTCATAAATCTCTGAAGCAGTGCTCACACAGCCACATGAGTTTTCTTAGAGACAACAATGTTGATACTTATCAAAGAAATAGTAACTTTCAGAAAGTCCAGAAAGAGTAACTGTGATGGTGAAGAGACAACTTCTAAACTTCTTGAATCAGGAACACTGAGATCAATCCACCTAAAAAAGCTAAGCCAGTCCCAGAAATAACCTTCATCCATCCATCATATTTACCCTCATCTTTCTTTTTGGGTTGCGGGGGTCACTGGTGCCCATGTCCAGCAGTCACTGTGTGAGAGGTGGGGTACACCTGGATAGGTCGCAAATCCATCAGAGGGACACATAGAGACAGTTTGTTCAACTTAAATACAAATCAGAAAGATCCAGGACATTTTCTTTCTTCAGAAACAAATAATATTAATTAAAATAATACTCATAATGAATAAAATATTTTAAAAGAAGAAAAAGGAAGAAATAATGACTAATCTCAGAGTTATTTGATGTAGATGGTGGAAAAAAAAAAGCTTTCAAAATGAATACTGGTACACATTACTCACAATATATTTCTTTTTGAGATTGCACGATGGAGAAGTCTGGACATATCCAATATATTTGATCTATTGCCCAGCTTTAATGTGAGTGTTTGTGTGCAGCTTCAGTCCTGACCGGCGGCTGTTGGCAGTTGGTTCAGTGGAAAACACAGTGGACGTGTATGATGTAAGCAGAGGACCAGGTCTGAACCGGCTGGTTTACTGCAGCGACATCCCAGCGTTCATCCTGCAGCTGGACTTCTCTGCAGACAGCTGCTACATCCAGGTATCAACACATAGACATCTCTGTTTGCATGTAACTGCTGCCAATATGGATAAGAATGGTGGGACTCAAACATGTGTGTACCAACACACACAAGTACAGGTACAACAATTTATATTTTACAGTGGTGAGGGGTGCTCATCATAACTGAACCTTGTCTACCTTGCTGATCACCACAACCAACAGCACAACTACAGTCTGTTAGTGTTTCTGTACAGACAGCTTACAACACAAATACACCCACACTGACGTGATAAAATTGGCTTGTTTAAGCCATCGCACTTTCTGCAGTTTATGAGCACAGCAGAACAAGGAGTTGGACCAAGATACAAAGATTGCAGTAGGAACTGTTCAAAATTTAAAAAGTGACCAGCACCTACTGTGAAGAGCATTATGGCAAAACGAGTCAATGGTAAAATGTTTAACTCACCAAAAATTTTCACTAGCGAACTAAATTGTTTCATTCAGTCCCACTTGCATGTACAAATAGAGTTCCATATGAATAATCATGTCATGTGAAATTGATGGCACAATAAGAATAGATTCATTATTGTTTGCATAAAGGTCAGCTGGACTTTCAACGTAATTGATAAAAAAGTTTAATCCAAGCGACAGGGTCCTGGAGAACCTTCATGCCCCACTGAGATGCACGCGGCAGGGTATGTCATGGATCCATGGTGGGGTTTGGAAGTTGATGTGCCTTTCTGTATTGTGTCAGGAGGACATTGAAGATGTTTATATCGTTAGAATCATGATAGCAGGGTTTCTGCTTTTTGGCATCGGTGGATACCTATGTCATCGACTATTAAAGAAGACAGCGGCAGCAGTTTTGGCCATGGCAAAGTTGCCAACCCCATGTGAAAGTTTGGTTTGTGCTTCGAGCACCCAAAATCAGCTGATTTACGAGCTAAACCATAAGATGGAAGCAATTTGTGAGCATCGCAGGCCACTTGCAGCTTCTGGGACTCATCAGCATGTTGGGGACGACCTTGGAGGGGGCTCATAAGCACGGTCCAGTGGAATGCCCACAGATCTGGCCCTTTTGGATCATCAAAAGTACCAGCAGAGCTCAAGGCTAATGAGAAATAACAGACTGCCTGGAAAAAAATCAACAACTGTGGCTTATCTGAATCTGACTCCCTTGTTTGGCCTCGAAGCAGGCTGACTTATCAAATTTCTCCTGGGATATGTGTAAACTAAGAAGGCTCTGTCTATCCCCCAAGAACTTCTGTGAATGCTTATCAGAGCTGTACCGGCTAACACTAACATCTTATTAGGACTATGGTGCTATCTGGAAGTGCTTCATGGACAAATCTCACTGTCTTGTCAAATGCATATGGAATAAATGTGCTTGATGGCAGAGTTTTTTGATGTCTTAAATTGTGTCCTGATAAGGACAAGGTGTGAAGAGATCTTTTTTGTAATACAACTATGGCCTTTTCCCCTTTTCTATCTAAAAGAACAAGGGGCCGTGCTCTTAGGAGCAGCAGCAACGTGCACTCCACCCATCTTTCGGACGACTGTATGAACACAATCTCACTATACTGTACTACAGTGCAATGATAATAAAGCTTATTCTGATTTGGATTCTGATAAACCACAATTTTTTTAAACTGGAACTATTATAAGAAAGCATCAATCCACTTTGCTCATGGTTGTGCTCAGACTAGCTGTTCATTAGTCTAGTCAGGAATAAACTTTATTGTTCCGATCTGAGGGTCATTAATAAGCTATCCACAGCAGGTTAGATATTAAGTGTTCATATATTTTCCACTGAACTACAAACCTGTGTGACAGATCTCAATATTCAAATCACTTTTTTCCATTCATTGATTTATTGTTTCATTTTTCGTCTTGTGGTTAACCATTTTTTAAAGTATGTTTGAACTTTATTTAGTTAAATAACAAAAGTAAAACTAGAGTAGTATTGCATGTTTTAAACATCTGAAGGCCTCATGGACATACACTCACACACAATGTGCACATCGGTTGTGTTCAGGTGTCCTCTGGAGTGTACAAGCGGCAGGTGTTTGAGGTTCCTTCAGGGAAGCTGCTGAGCAATCAGAGCGCCATTGACAGGATCACCTGGGCCACGTGGACCAGGTAAGATTTTTCAGTATCACTTTACAATAAGGGTCCCCTTATAGATGGCTAATAAATAGTTTATAGATATGTTATTCATTCCTCTAAAAACACTATAAATCATTAATCATTTTTTATGCATTAATTAAGGATGACAGAGACAAAACTGACCAGTTTCTTGCCAAATAATGATCAAAATCTGTTCATGTATATATTTCATCTAGAGTTGTTATATGACACATTTCAGACTAAGTTACTACATTGTAAGCACAATAAGCATTTGTAAACCTATTTTTTTAAGGATATAATATTGTACTTTATCACTGCATTAGAAGTATCTATAGTAGTAAATACTTTAAACAGGTTTTTTTTTCACTTTGGAGTAAGCTGTTGGGGGAGAAACAGTTTTGTTTGGTGTTTCCTCAGTCTGATGAAGCCTTCTGGATGGAGGGCAAAATGTCTCAACACCAAACAAGAAACCGTCCAGATGACATGACTGAACATTGTTGGATTTTATACCTGGATTATTGAGCATGGATTTGGACCCTTAAATAATGCATAATAAACAATTATTAATGATTTATAAAGTGTTTATAGAGGAATTAATAACATATCTATAAACTATTTATTAGCCATGTATAAGGGGAGCTTTATTGTAAAGTGGCACTGGTTTCAGACTTGCTGATGGAGATGAGCCATTCCTGATCTGAATCTGCTCTTCATCTGTCTCCGCAGCATTCTGGGAGATGAAGTTTTAGGAATTTGGCCTCGGAATGCCGACAAAGCTGATGTGATCTGCGCTTGTGTGTCTCATGCCGGTGTGAACGTTGCCACCGGGGACGACCTCGGATTGGTCAAACTCTTCGACTTCCCCTGCACAGAGAAGTTTGTGAGTTTCCATGCTCAGCCTCCATCTGCAGTCAAAGGTCAGAGCAGGGACATGGTTTCAAACACTGAAATGATCTTGTTTCTGGTTTCAGGCCAAACACAAGCGCTACCTTGGCCACTCGCCTCATGTGACCAACATCCGCTTCTCCTACGATGACAAATATGTGATCAGCACAGGAGGAGATGACTGCAGGTGATCAATACCACAGCTGATCAGTGGAGGCTGGTTAAAGGAGACATTTTGTATAGTTTTCACAACAAGATGATTTAAGGTCAGAATTAAAAGTCTAAATTGAACAAGATTACATAACCAAAGCTCTCTGAGACATTATGTCATCATTGTAGAAAATATAACAATCCACTCAACAAAAATTCTCTCTTTCCTTTTGTGTTAATAAAGATTTTTACTCAAATGGCCCTCCAAATCCCTTAAAGAGTATGAGAGATGCATAATACAAACCCTCAGAGTATTCAGCCGGACAACTGATGAGAAAAAAAAATTATTATAATAATAATTTGTTTTTCAAATTCTCAAATTTGTCTTCTCTACATTTACATGATGAACAATTGGAAAGTATCTATCTTTTAATAAAAATAGATCAGAAATCAAGTCCTGAACTGGTCATAGATGTTACATATTTGCACATATACATTTAACTTTTAGTCAATCCATTTCACATCTAACCATTTTCCATATCTAACTGATATTATTTACCAAATAATCACCTATTGATTTTACTGATTTTACATAAAATTTTGGACAACGTTAATTTTAAGATTTACCCAAAACCAAATGTCTTACTTTATTGTTTCTCACCATAAGATGATCTTAGTTTAAAACTTAAGCATGAAATGCGGCCTATGAGAAATATTCCTTCAAGGAAAGATAAGCCTGTTAATTTATTTCTAAAGTTTTTTTTTTATTCTGTTGATAATGTGCTTGATAATTCATTTTTTTAAATAATTTGGAGTCCCCATGTCTGACGTGCAGTGAATGCAACATGACAGGAAATTGAAGTGTGGATGACGTGAAGAGAAATATCTGTATTTATTTTTATATTTCTATAAGATGGAAGCAAGACAAAATTTCACCTGAAATTTTAAACAGTTCATTGGAGGAGAATTTCAGATTTATGGGGTTGAACTGACTTCTCAACTTATAGGAATGTATGATTAAATTATGTGAATAAATCACTTTAATACTGTATATCAGTCTATTTCGAGACAAAAAGTAGTCCATAACAAATAAAAATAAAATAAAATAAGATCAAACAAATCATCAAGTAAAAAAAAATAAGACAAACACATCCATCACAAAGCAGACAAACAGTTATTCCAATATTTAAAAAAAATCTTTAGGTATATCTAGTATGACTATATGTTGCAGTTGACAAAGCTCTATTAAGTTTCTTGGGACAACAAAGTGGCACATAAATTTATACATGAAGTTCCTCAGCAAGGCATGAAAAGTTGGAATGTTGCTTATGACAAACATCTGACTTGCAGATGTCCATCTTGGAAGTCTGAGGAGGATTCTAAATGCATCCTGATAGGTTATTGGCAGTTTCTTCATTATAGCTTTACTGTAGTTACACCAGAGGTGAGCCGTATAAAAGGAGGTGCAATAAGTTTGAAAAAGGGCCACTTTAACCTCAGCTGTACACATGCTAAGTTTATGTGCCAACATATCAGCTTGCATGTACTTGTATTTGGAGGGGAGTGGTGGCGCAGAGGTTAGAGAGGTGGGCTTGTGATCCGAAGATCGCCGGTTCACGCCCCGACAACATCAAAGTTGTGGGTGGGGTAGGTGAAACACCCACACTTGCCCCCACCCTCATTCGCCCCACTCTGGGCCCATGAGCAAGGCCCTTAACCCCCACCATGTGCTCCCTAAACAGGTCTCTCTTGAAAATGAGTTCTCGTGGCTCAATGAGACTAACCTGGATAAATAAAGGCTAAATAAAAATAAAATAAAATGTACAAAGTACAACACTGTTGCTTCACATCATCATCACAGAGATCACTCCTCAGAATATGGCCACCACCTGAATGTGAAATGTAATAGTGAGTTTATTTATACATTTATTTATTTATTCATTCATTCATTCATTCATTCATATTTCTGTTTTTATGGTGACCTCACAAACCAAATTACTGTACATGCTTTTAAATACAAAAAAAAAAAAAAAAAAGTATGAAGAGCAGATCTCTGGTTCTTGAGACCAAGATGTTTGTTTTACATTGTTTTAAGTTATCCATGTATTTAATTTCCTCAGGCAGATTTATGGAGCTGAACAAAGCGGAACCATTTGGTTTACAAATGTTCAGATGAGTATCATCAGCATATTTCACAAGTTCATTAAGGGGCATTATAGACTATATATTGCCAATAATAATGGACCAAGGCAACATCCATGTGGAACTCCAAAGATATTTGCAAAAACATTTGCAACACAGGCCTAATGCTCATGTTTATTTGATGTTTTAAACCAGTTTATAGTGAATCTTAAAACTCAGCAAGGTTTTCCAGATGATTGATCAGGATATCATGGTCACTTATATCAAAAGCTGCACTTCAAAATAATATAATTTTATTTTCATCAACATGTAGTTAGTCATTTCCTGAAGTACTTTAGCTAAACAATTTTGGTATTCAGCATGTTCTGAAACTCATTCAGGATAGGATTTTTAATGCATTTCTTTCTACAGATACAATCTTTTCAAGTTCTTTCTAACAATTGGAAGATTGGGTACTGGTCTCTGGTTATTCAAATCATCACAGTCCAGTTTCATTTTTAGTGAAGATTTCACAATGGCTTTTTAGAAGGCATCTGGAAAGAATCCAGATTTGTGCCAAATACAGAAAAATGTTTTAGTTAAGATGTTTTTGTTTGTTTGTTTCAGCATCTTTGTGTGGAAATGTATTTAAAAGTTCGAGATCTGAAGCGCCTTAACAGAACCACAAGTGGATCTGCCAGTCAGTCTGCGAGAGGATGCTCATCTGATGTGTACGGAGCTTTCTGTAACACCTTCTGCATCAGGATGGGACTCTGCAGCATCCCCCAAGGGCTTGGAAAGGACTTAGTGAGAGGTCGCAGTGGTGCATTCCAGTCATCAGTTTGTTTAACGGTCTGAGGTTAAACTTGCACACTTGATCTTTAAACACTTTATCACTTTGAGACTCATCATGAACATTTTTTTTTATCTTTATTTTAAAACTTCAGAATAAAACTTCTTCCTGTTTTCTCTTTATGTGGTTATAACTTTAAATCCTGATTACTCCCATTTGTCTTAAGTGTCCGAGACATAAAAGTTCAAAATAAAAACATGAAATCTGAAATTATGCAGGATCTTTGGAGGCTTACCCTGATGGGCAAAGATAAGAAAGTAAAGCTGATAGAAGCCACTCGTTGCCATGGGAACACCTAATTTTTTGGAAAGCAGAAAAGGGAGGTGCAACATGCAGCAGCAATTTAGGCAGGCAGAAACACAGACAAAAAATGAATCTGTGAAAATTTGTGAAAACTATGGTGTTTTTTTTAAATGAACCATAACAAGAGGCTCTGATGGTCATACATGTCGATTTTTTTGTGTCTACAGTGTTTTTTATGTCAGAGATATGACAAGTTAAATTTTCATTTTGAAAATTCTGTGCTCAGATATGAAGTCAACGATAGTTTGGACATGGACACTTTGGGTCAGTTTAGGAGAAAACCACATGTCCTAAAAAGCTGAGACATGCTGGATGAAAGAAGATTAAAAAACAACTACCAATTCATGTATAAAATGTAAAAGAATAAAGATTGTAGAAATAAATAAAAAATTTGTTTGCAAAGATTTTAGAAAGTTTAGACAAATTTAAAGTTAGTGTGTGATATTGCTACACTAAATTAAATGTTTTGAATTAAATTCTCAAAAAACAATTAAACTTAAATTATGACTGTGTAAAAAACATTAAAGACGTCAAAACATTAGATCAGTCATGTAAAGTCCATCCTTTTGCGACTCAAACTTTGAATCATGTTTCTATGAAATTTATCTGGGCTCTAGAGGACAACGTCTCACTTTTTACAACAAAATCATAATCTATGGGGAAATTTACTGCATTTTTTGTTAATTTAATTTATATTGTACAATGTACTGCTACTAAAAAGTCACAACCTTATTCCTGGTTGAGCCACATGTTTTGATGCATTTTTGATGAGTTTTTTTTTTTTTATGAGGTAAATGGAGGTGAATAGAAACAAGAATGCTTCACTCTACCAAAAGACAAATCCCCAATGTCCCATAAACTGCACCATGCATGTAACGATGAACCTAAAATTACAGCAAGAATAAAATCAGTAAGAATATAAAACATTTGAAAATGGCATCCTGCATTCCCTGGATAATTGTTTGATCAAGTTTAGTTTATGCCATTTTTTTTGATTGTCTTCATGTTGCCTCATTCACAAAGTGAATATACGGACAATTTGCCAATAAAAACACCTATTTGCAGGTTTCTATCCCCCATGAGAAATTATTAAAAATAGTTTCAGCTAAATAAGCAGAAAAGAGTAAAATTATAAAAGCAACCAGTTTTAGGTTTGAATAAAATTTAAAACATTAGTCCTGAATAAATGATGTGATAAAACCCTGCTTACACAGAAAAGAGAACACTGACTTTACTTTTTCCACAAATTAAATTCCACCTTTGTGTTTATTTTATTTTTTTAATTTCTGTCTGCTTGTTTCAGCTCCTGAAGAATTTCTGTTGAAATGTTGATGAAAATATCATTTTATCTGAACTAACAGGATGTTCTGGTTAAACTGCATGTCAGGTTTTGTCCCTGACTGTTGGATCAGTCTAAAAAAACCCACCTGACTCAGTTTGCAGAAACTTATTTGTTGTTGTTGTTTTTTTTTTTGTTGAGAAAACAACGAGACTCGATCTTTATGTTGACAAGTCTTTGCTGCATCTTGACATCATCACACTTAAGTGCCTTTCTGGATATTTCTACCTGTTTGATTTGTTTAAAACTGTCTGAGAACTTGATTTCTTGCACGATATTTTTTTATCCATATCTGAACTTATTTTGTACTCTGTCTGGTGCTACACTCTGAATGTTCATCATGAATGGACAGAAAAAAGAAAATAATTTGCTCGGTTACTGTTTTTTGTCTCCAACTTATCCACAACATCATAATCAGAACAGTTACCAGAATAATTAGGTGTTTTTTTCTTTCTGCCTGATGTGAACGTGATGTGTGGGTGATACTCTCTGTGCTGAATATTAACTGTTGTGAAAAGTGTCAAACACTCTGTGCAAAGATTAATATATAAAAGTAATTTAACTTGTTTGTTGATTCATTTCTTTCTCTCGACCGAGCTTTGACACACCCTGAATGTTGCTCAAGTTTATCCAAAAGGTGTGTCAGTTTCCTCTAAAACTAAAAAAGGGAGTACAGGCGTAACATTCCTTGTAAGGAATGCACATCACTCGATGTGTTTCATAAGAGTTTCAGTCTAAGATCATCTTATTATGAGAAGTGAAATAGTTACAGCTGGTTCTGTTAAACCTTAAAAACAAAACAAATCTCATAACTTGTGTGATCTAATAGCACTAAGCGTATGTGTTGTGAATGACCATCAGCCACCACTATGTCAAAGTTTTGCTCTGTACCAGTAAAATCTACTGAGATCTAGTGGTTATACACCCTTTCTAGGATGGGATGTATTATGGTATGTCACTGTCCATCCATCTGTATGATTGTGGACAATTTCTTGTCAGAGCTCTAAGATAACGCTTTAACATAAAAATGTCAAACTGCACAGCTCGACACCCTGTGTCAAAGGTTGTGTGTCTGACCAGGTGGTCAGTAGCTCAGGAGCACCACAGGGGACTGTACTCTCACCACTCCATTTCACTCCGTAGACCTCAGATTTCCAGTATAAAACAGACTCCTGTCATCTGCAGAAATATTCTGATGACTCTGCAGTGGTCGGGTGTATCAGAGATGGACAAGAAGCTGAGTACAGGGAACTGGTGGACCACTTTGTGGCATGGTGTGGAAACAATCATCTCATCTTGAATGTGAACAAAACAAAGGAGATGATTGTAGATTTCAGGAGAAACAGGAACAGGTCCAACCCTATTTCCATCATGGGAGAAGAAGTAGAGGTGGTGGAGAAGTATAAATACCTTGGAGTTCACCTGGACAACAGACTGAACTGGAAATGCAACAGTGAAGCATCTACAAGAAGGGACAGAGCAGACTGTACTTCTTGAGGAAGCTGAAGTCCTTCAACGTTTGCAGCAAGATGCTGCAGATCTTCTATAAGTCTGTTGTAGAGAGCGTTATCTCTTCTGCCATCATCTGCTGGGGGAGCAGCACCAGAGCAAGTGACTTAAAAAAGATCAACAAGCTCATAAAGAAGGCTAGCTCAGTTCTGGGGACTCCTCTAGAACCTTTGGAGATGATTGTTCAAAGAAGGATTCTTCATAAAATGAAGAACATTATAGACAACCCTCAGCATCCTCTTCATCAGACTGTCATACAACAACAGAGTGTCTTCAGTCAGAGGCTTCTTCAAATCCGTTGTAGGACAGACACTACAAGAGATCCTTCCTGTCCACAGCCATCAGCATCTAGAACAACTCTTCAATGAAACCAGGATGATGAGTTACAACAACATTTAATTTCCTTTGGGATTAATAAAGTATTTTTGAATTGAATTTAATAATTTATACAGGTTAGTCTTGTTACGCCCCGAGGACTCATTTATAAGAGAGACCTGATTTAAAACTGTAACTTTAGAATTATTACCCAGGTTATCTTATGAAAACTTTTGGACAAAGAAAATGAAGGTTTTCATTGTTCTAAGTACTGTTGTAATATACAGCAGTAAACCTCATCATAGATCCAGTTAAAAATAGAAACACTTCATTCTGCAAAAATGCTGTTCCAATTAGTGTTTTCTAAGAAGGCTGCACAAAAGAAAGAATTTTATCATTACGGTCATGGAAAACAAAGATCCACCCTTATCAAAATGTATGTTTTTATGTGTCCAAATATATAAAAACTATATGGCCTGTGTTGAAATTGTATACTCGGTCATTCCACAGTGGCCCATATGATGAGTCAGCCATTTAAAAAAAAATTATATTTCACACAGCTTTAAAGCAGAAAGGTCACAGAGCAACAGCAACAAGAAGTAATCTTAAAAATTTTATTTGAATTAAAATCACATTTCATAAGAAATATTATTTTCTTTATTCAAATGTCAGTATAAAATATTTAAAGGTTCTTTGTTTGACTGGGTGATTGATATATCTTGTTGAAATTTTAAGTTTAGTTCATGGATTTCTGACCAAAAGTAAAAATTTTAATTTGAATTACTTAAAAACTGGCAGTAAAATATGTAAGTCTAACTATTTTTTTTTTACTGCATAGCCTCCCTTGTTCAAATAAACATCAACATCTATCAAACCATTTCTTTTATGGGATATTTATCTTAAAAATTCAAAAACATTATTCTGATTGTTTTATTTTTCATCTTTGTCCCTTTCCATATATATATATATATACATACATACATACATACATACATACATATATATATATATATA